AGACATCGGACAGGGCAAGATATGACAAAATAATAATTTATAAACTATCAAGGGATTAGGAAGGAAGGAGGAGCAGGGAGGGAGGGGGAAAATGAGGAGCTGATAGCAAGGGCTCAAGTAGAAAGCAAATGTTTTGAGAATGATGATGGCAACAAATGTACAAAGGTGCTTGACACAACGTCTGGATTGTGGTAAGAGTTGTATGAGCCCCCAATAAAATGATTTAAAATAAATAAATAAACCTTCCTCCAGTCCTGATGCCACATTCCTCTTCACAGATTTACTCAGGTTTTTTTTTTTTACATTCTTTACATTCTCAGATTTACTCAGGACACAGATTGAATAAGTATAGAAAAGAATACAATGCTAATACACACCTTTCCTAATTTTAAACTATGCAATGCCCCCTTATGCACAGGTTCCACACTAGCATAATTAAGTGTTCTAAAATTTCCATTCTTCCCAATGAAAGATACAGTCTATTAAAATGGCCCCTCTAACCTCTGCTTGTGGATATAATCAACTTTTAGAGGGAGTTCTGTTACAGGATTCAAGTGGGATTTTATTCTTAGTAGAAGTAACTTTACTAGGGAGTGTAACCAAGTCACTATCTTTTGTTTTTCTTAGGGATGTGCAGTCAGTTGAAAGACAGAAACCACACCTCCATCTTTTGTGGATAAGAGCAATCTCAGAAGGAGGAACACACAGAGAAATCCCTGGTCCAGTGGAAGTGGAGCACATCTGAGATCTCCGTCTAGGCCTGGTGGCCTATTGATTATGCACTGGGCTGCTAAATGCAACACAGCAACTCGAAACCAAAAGCTCCTCCTCACACAGTTCAAAACCAAAAGCTAGGGCTTTCTACTCTCCTAAAGGGTACAGTCCCAGAAACTCACAGGGGCAGTTCTATCCTCTCCTGTGGGATCACCATGAGTCAGCAATACTTGATAGCAATGAGTTTGCGGGTTTTTTCTTTTATTTGGGGGGGGGGGGGAGAAACACGGGGAGAGGGACCTAGACCACAGAGCCTGTGGCCAGACCAGAGGCCAAGGCAAGAAGACCAAGAGAAGGAACAGAGGAGCAGCACTGATACTTTGTGATATTGGCTTAAACCATGTGGAGACCGAACCCTGCAACTGAATTTTAGACACTCACTGTCATCCATAGCCTTCTATCATCCGCTCCCTTGAATTAGGATTATATCATTTACAAGCCCTGGATCATACAGGCTGGTGTGATTCTTCCATCTGGACTTAACTGATGCATCACTTAGATGGGTGCTTGTTTGAAGACAATTCTTTAAGAGCCCAGATGCTATTCTTTCTGATAGTTGAGTGTCATCCGATTTTTTCACCACACTTTGCTATAGCACCCATATCTTCAGTGACCTCTTCCTGAGGGTGAATACCCAGTAGGGTCATGTCATTCTTAGATTTGAGCCAGAATTAAATACGAGCCCCAAATCCATTCATCTATCTGTGGTTTATACACGTCTTTGGTTCACTTTAGAGACATCACTACTATTTTACGATAGAGATTATAAATCATCCTCCTAAGGTATAAAGTAAATCTATTGATAATGTTATGAATCTAGTCAATGGTATAAAATTTAAAACACTGTTGAGAAAAGGCAATTAAATGTGTGCATGTTGCAATACATCAATTGTTGACTTGTACAGATTAAAAGCTTAAGTGACTGAACATTACGTACACAATGAGGGTTAGATATAGGGCAAAACTTTCAGTAACATTCATTCACTAAGGCAGAATCATGCCTGGCAGACTGACACATCAAAAAATAAAAGCAAAGGAGTATAAAATAGTAAATATACCTTCCATATATTCTTTTGATGCTTGCTCTGCCACACAGTATTTCGCCCATAAAATGCATCAGTATTGCAAATACTGATATTCAACCACATATTAGCTTAGTGAGGTAACCAAAAATCCCCTAGAGTACATCAGTTTTTCATTGTCCTTCCTGAGCCTTTAGAAGACTAGGAAAAGATTGTGATCTACTGAAGGCCTTGAAGAGTAACACTTGAGATGTGTGCTTAAGATGCAGGCTCCTAAGGCCTACCTCAAATTTACAGATTCAAAAATCTCTTTTTCTAATGCTAGAGAACCAAAATTTGTAATAAGAACCCCTGGATTAGTCTTAACCACTTCAAATATTAATAGATAGTGAGGAAAAAACCCCATAGCATGCACAAGCTCCTCCCCCTACTTTTTATCCATCCCAACCAGATCATTAATTGCTGCAGCAGTCAAGGGAGGAAAATGTGTTGCCATATGGCTGTGTACATATTTGTTTTAAAATATGGGCACAATAATACATGGTCTCCACATGATCAGAAATATCAACATCTCCTTTTTCATATCACCACACATATAAATAAAAAGATTTAAGACATTTACCTTTTAAAAATCATCTTTCAGGCTCATGTTAGACCAGATAACTCAATTTAATTTACACTAAGTGTGTCAGTGCTTGGAAGACAGAAGCAAGCTGTAATCGTTTTCCACATACCAAATCTTAAGTTTCCATGTCTTGAAATCTTTATGGGGAGCAATATTGATAAAAGATGATTATAGCTCAGTCAATTTGATGAGCTGATTTTGATCATCACAACAGCCTTTTGTGGTACTATTATTTCCCTTTCCTATGTGAAAAAATAAGGCTCAATAATATCAAATAAGATGGGCAAGGTGGTAATATTTAAGAACAGTAGCTAAGGCTTGAATCTAGGCAATCTGACTAAAACTTGAAGTATAAGTTAAAGACATATAATTAAAAAAAGGTTTATCTATAACTTCTTCAGCTATCCTTAATATTTGATTCTTCTTGAAGCCTTGTATAGTCATTAATCCCATGGTATATATACTCATTTGCTATTTTAAATGAAACTTCTATTAGATTTCTAACTTACTTATATAAAATGAAATTATTGATTTTAAAATAATCTGAATTTGCCACCTTAAGAAATTCTCTTATTATCCCTAATAAATTTCCAGCTTATGCTAAGTTTTATAGGCATACAATCACAGCCCAGGGAAATATTTGTACTTTAATGTATCCTTTCCAGTATTTATCTCTTATAATGTTGAAATGAATTTAATGCAGTGCTACATTCCATTTATAATATTTTCTTTATAATATTTTCCTAAGGGAAACTTTTTTTTTTTTAAACTGGTGTTGTTTTTACTAACTTTGTAGCGTTCCTTCGTCTATGCATTGGAACTGTTTAAATAGGATCTGCATGATCTTACCCCTCACCTATAACAGTGTTTCTCAACCTCCCTAATGCCACGACCTGTAGTGACCCCCCAACCAAAAAATTAATTTCGCTACTTCATAACTATAATTTTGCTACTGTTATGAATCGGGCGACCCCTGTGAAGGGGTCATTCGACACCCAAAGGAGTCCAACCTACAGGTTGAGAACTGCTGACCTATAAAATTGTCTGGGTTTAGTGCTCTTAAGACACAAGCTCAATTTTGTCTACAGCCAGTGTTCTATCTCCTCTCAGGTCTATTTTTAAAATTTATACTGTTTTACTAAATCACTTGGCTTTTATTTTAAATGGTACTGATTAATTCTTTGTACTGATATAAGTCTAGCATGATTGTGTCTATGAGGGAAAATATAAACAAATGCATAAATCAATATTATTGACAAAGTCAGGATGAGTTAGATGCATAAAACTTGGAGCAAAATACTGGCATGCAGCTTTTGTTCAGACCATGGATTCCAAAACAAAATCTTTAAATAGGGGTTTGGATAGTCAAATGTTATTACCAGAAGATGCCCTAGGACATGGAAACAATTAAGCACACCAAAGGTCTGAGATTTGAACCCACCCAAGATGGGCCTTAGAAGACAGTGACCTGTTTCTGGAAGACTTAGAAATCCTAAGAAGCACAGTTCTACTTTATAACATATGACTCTACCATGAGTCAAAATTGACTCTATTGCAACTGGTCTGTTTAAATGCTAAGATATATATCTCTTATGTAAGTATTTTGCATATACATATACTTATATATATGCATATTTGCATATATATGTATATATATTATATAATTCCAATACCTCTAAGGTAAAGTATAAGTAAAGACATAATTCAGAAATCACAAATTTGAAATGAGAGTCAGAAAAAGGCAAAAGAAATGACCTTTCTTCAATGCCTACACATCTTAATTCAAGAAATAAGATTTTTTAAAAGATATTATACATAAGCAGTGCGGAAAAAAAATCAATGAGCTCACTTGAAAAACTACTTTACCCTAATAGGAGAATGCTAATAAATTAATGCTAATTATATTCATATTACCATTCTTATAACATACCAAAACTTATAGACTAAAGGCAGTGTTCAGAGGGAAATTAATTGTGGTAAACGCCTAGATTTCAAAAAAGAAGAAATTAGTAATCTAATTTTACACCTTGAGGAACTAGAAAAAGAAGAAACAAGCCCAAAGATACAGATAAAAGTAGAGATGAAAAAAATAGAGAATAGGAAAATGATAGAATAACTAAATCAGAACTTGTTTATTTAAATATCAGTGACATTAACAAACCTCAAACTAGACTGACAAAGAGAGAGAGAAGATGCATATACCTAAAATTAAAAATGAAAGGACGTTATAAGCAACCTTACAGAAATTTTTAAAATCCTAAGTAAATGCCATGAGAAATTATATGCTAACAAATTAGATAACTTTGAGTAAATGGACAAAGTCCGATAAACACACAATAGCATCATGGTATAATTCCTGCTAACGGAAAGGTTGGTTGTTTGAACCCACCATATACACTCTGCAGAAGAAATTAATGACAGTCTGTTTCAGTAAAGACCAGTGACTTGGAAACCCCATGGGGCAGTTCTACTCTGTCCTACAGGGTTGATGTGAGTCCGGATTAACTCGATGGCAACAGGTTTTGTTGTTTTTTGGGGTTGTTTTTAAGCAATAATAATCTGCTATGTTACAAACCTACCTGTGCACAAGATTCTTCAGGTGTTTTGGCACTAACTGAATAAAGTGCTGGGAGATCTAGTCTGTGTACAGAGAATTTTTCTAGAGTGTGCAAAAGTGCTGGAGCAAGGTGAGAAGTTTGACCTGAGCCTCGTTCTCCAGACAGCAATAATCTTGGCCTGTAAGAGGTTGGCTGGTGGTACGGTGACCTGCAATACACACAAGATATAATTACTTTAAAACCATACATTCTGCAGTGTCTACCCGAAATATTAGGCAAGATATAGATCAAGAAATCAAGGCTCAAACAGGTATAATATATACATCTATATATGAATATAGGTATATATTCTAGATATTAAAGCTCAAATTCTATTTCAGATTCATATGGTTGTAAAGTCCCAGTTCTAAACCACTATGTTAAGACATTCCATACTTGATATTGAAACATATTATTGAATAACAAATGCACACAGAGCCATCATAAGATCTCAATAAAGATTCTGGAATAAAGAGGGGGGAAAAAAGCACAATAAACCAAAGAAAAGAAACACACATCATTGGAAGAGAATAGGCACTGAATCACAATGTTAGTTTGTTGTGTATTGTGCAGTAGCAACTTTTAAAAATACAAAAGCTGTTAAGAAAACGAGAGTTATAGATTTTTAATTAATAGAATTCTGAACTTTTTAACTTCAAACAACTAAATATGAAAGACTTGGCCATAAAAAGAGGGGGGCTAACCTTAATATATAGAAATTTATGTACATAGTGTTTAAAAGCAACAGCCATAGCCCCCCAAAATAGACAATTCAAAACCAAATTTGAAGTACATAACATTTTTAAATGTTTGTTCATTCAACAAACATTTGTAGAATGCCTCTTTTGCTGATTATCTCAGTCCTTGGTATTCTGTACCTCAATGACAAGGGGCTTCTTTCCTATCTGCTAAGGGAATGAACAAAGGACCTGTGAAACTAGTGACGAACTCTGTGAGAACTGGCTAGGTAAACATCATAACCTTGAAGTCAGGCCCCAGTGAAATTCTGGCACAGGACTGTCCTCACAGATAATTCTAAGACATGCTGACCCACAGCAACAGCTTAGATAAACCTGAAAGAAATGATGTATGAGACCCAAGGGCAAACTGAGTACATGAGGAAGTGGCTCGACCATCTGCAGAGTGTCAACCCCCAGACCCCTTTGACAGTGCCATATAAAAAAACTAGAGCGTTTCCCTAGACAACGTCCTCATCTCAACTCACAAGGGAGACATATTTTATCGATGCTTAAGGTATCCTTCTCAGCTCTCGCAGGGGCCCACTTCATTTCTTTTGAAGTGACGCTATGCTTTAATATACATGTGCCTTAACTCTTCGCTACTGGGTGTATGTATATGTGTGTGAGACAGCAGCTTATCTCAACCCTAACAAACCACACCACCTCGTGGCTTGCTAGTTCCCTTGTAGATGAAAGCCCAGGAACCAAATATCATGCTAGGTAGACAAAAATATCACTGTTATCAGAGAACTCATAATTAAATGATATATAGTGGTAAAAGGAATTATATAGATTACTATAATTCGGTGGTATTGTTTAAATTCAAAGTACAGTGAGATCCCAATAAGGAATTAAGTTTTTACTGGGAAAGTATTACCAAAAGAGCAGCCCAACAAATTAAGGGGCAAAAATGGTTAATTTCAAAAAAGAAGTAAAAAGATGTGCAAAAGAACAGAATCTATAGTGGATGTAGCCCTGGGTGGATATCCTGTTCTTCACACAGCCAGTGTCTGGCTGGGGATTTGGGAAGGTTAAAGGTAAAGGTGCTAGGGGTTAGGGTGGAGAAGAAAAAGAAGAATCAGAAGATGAAGGATGTTAAGAGTTCGGAATTCATATTGAACGTGATAGTATGGCATAATCAGACACAATAAGCTACTTAAGCAAAGGAATGACGGAATCAGATACCTGCTTTAGGAACACAGCTCTAGGTCAGTAGGAAAAAGAGCCTTATAGGAAAATACAAGTCTGACATAATAATCCAAGCACGAGATAATAAATGATAATCTAAAGAAGAAGAGTGTCAGGAAAAAGTGAGAAGCTATAGCCTCAGATGAAACTTACTTAAGTTTTTAGTATATGTGCTGCCGAAGCGAGCACGAAACTTACTTAGTAAGAAAAATCAACAATGCTTGGATACTAAAGGAAAGGACAATAAAGGCATTCAGGATGATATCAAATTTTACCTGGGGCACTTGAAAGAATGGCGATGAAGCTATTCAAAACAAAAGCTCACAGAAAGTGACGGGGAAATGAAGCTCCTGCTTATATGGGACGACAAACGAAAGATAGACAACTGGACAGTATGGAATTAAAGAGCACTCTTCGCCCCCCTTCATTCTGGCCTTCACAACGAGACTGGACAGTCATTATACAGATAAAATTTAAGACAATGGGAGATAAAATAAGAAAAGTAGATTTTACCTGTTAGGTTGAGAAATTAAAATTTAATTTTAATATCCTTTACTAGTAAGTACAAGATTGGAAAATAGACTTTCTCACAACTTGTAGATCGAAAAAATGAGAAGGAGAAGATCAGCCAGTCAGGATGCAGTATAGCATCAATGAAGGATACAATTTTCCTCTAGTTCTTTAACCCTTCCTGCCCCCAAATTATGACCCCAACCTTACAAATCTGGCTAGACCAGAGCATGTACACTGGTACAGATAAGAGCACACAGGGAATCCAGGACAGATAAACTCAACAGGACCAATAATGAGAGTAGCGAAACAAGGAGGATAAGGGAAAGGTGGGGGGAGAAAGGGGGATTCGATCACAATGGTTGACATATAGTCCCCTCTCGGGGGCATAATAGAAAAGTGGGTGAAGGGAGACAGCAGTCGGTGTAAGACCTGGAAAAAATAATAATTTATAAAGTATCAAGGGTTCATGAAGCAGGACGTGGGCGGAGAGGGAAGGGGGAGATGAGCAGATACCAAGAGCTTAAGTAGAAAGAAAATGTTTTGAAACTGATGATGGCAACACAGGTACCAATGTGCTTGACACGTGGATGGATGGATGGATGGATGGATGGATGGATGGATGGATGGATGGATGGATGGTGATAAGAGCTATAAGAGCCTCCTAAAAATTATTTTTTAAGTACAAAAATGAAATTTTTCTGAAATTTATTTTGCAGTTCTAACTATGCCACAGGTTTAAATTACTGGACACTGACAGAGCGATAAGACTAACTCATACCAGCTCTAAATGAGCTATCCTCCTTCTGGATAGAAAGTGTCACCTTTTCCCTCAGCGTGTTGCTGGTTCAAACTATTGCATTTTGTGATTAATGGCCCACTATGTAACCAACTACACCATGGCTCCTGAACAACTGGTTGGTGGATACAAACTCGGAATGTGTGGCTCTGCTTATATACCTACAGAGAATCCAGAATGCGGTCACCAGAACTTGAACAAGATTACCTTCAGGTGCTGGTGCTTCCATTTTCACTTTCACTTTCTCCAACGGAGCAGATGGTGCACTGCTAACTGTGATTAGCAGGTCAACATATAACCCGATGCCATTATAAAAACTAAATTAAGATGAGCCACGAAGTGTCACACATTAAATCAATGGCAGAGAACAGTCTTAAATCTTGGAACTCAAAATCAGGCGTGAAGTTTTTTCTATTGCCAAAATCTACCTCTGTATTTATTGATAAGAAGCTCTTATAAAATTAAAGTACATGACTTGTTAACTTCTTTCTACCTGTTACTATATAGTTCAAATCTAAGTAAATTTTCAACAGATCCACAAATAAAAATGGCCCAACTGCAGACCAAGGAAAGTGTCTAGTGGCGTTCTCTAGGGCACCCGTCCCACACGGACAAAACGCTCCCGCAGGCTCAGAAGACCTCCCTGCATGAAAGCGTCTGGAGGCAAGAAACGTCTCTAATAAGAGAACTTGCTGTCTAACAGTGTTTCAAGAAATATGAATAGATGAATGTACGTAAGTTTCATTTCAAAAATAAAAAAGAAACATGCACACAAAGAATCATATCTAACTTTACAATAATTTACTAAAACTTATATGGGAGGAACTTCCCATTCAAGCTGTAGATGGAACTTATAAAAAGTAACTCTTAAAGAAAATTACAGGCAATCCAGCCAATTCTGATACAAATGTAATTCTACAATGTGGCCCTTTAACCATCATGCTAATTATGTAAATACAAGTGATGATGTTAGTAATTTTTAATTTATTCTCTTAATTTAAAATGACATTCACATTAAAATTATTTCTTTATTAAGGGCACAACAAAAGCTGGCTTAATGTAACTAGTGGAAACATAAAAGTAAAAAGAATAACCATTAAATCCAAATTAGGAAACTATAAATTAATGAGATTTTGTAGAATCAGAGGTTATTAAATCACTGAGCAATTTCTAATACAAAAATATCTTTCAAGAGTTCCTAAATTATCATCCCAAACATTATAACTTAATAGTGTTCTTATATCTAGGTCGATTTCATTTCTGTCCATTTTAATTCAAATTTTAAAAAGCAATAAAATTGGGAGCAAGAATTGGCATCTAAGGGTAATCTGCTGTCTCCCATTCTTCAACAACAAGAACAACAAATGCGATCACATTTTTAAAATGAAACAAAACAGAAAGCCCAGTAAGCTACAGTAAGTACAGTTCTCCTGATTAGAGGATCAACTAATTATTACCATCCAAAAAAGTACATGGACTTTTCCAGAATTGCATCCAAAGAAAAAGAAATAAAGTTCCCAGTCACAACTATAAGCAAACTTTTACTACAGGCTGCAAAGTAGCAAAAAGCACTGAAAACGGTAAGAGATTAGATATGACTGAAACACTCACGTAGAGAAATGAAGGTAGGGCTTCTGCGCGGCACCAGTTGATGGCTGTCTCTTTGGTGACCCTGAGGGACAACTGCTCTCAAAAATCGATAGAGCATTCTCATCTTCACTATCATCTAAAAGCAGAGCTTCTGTATCTGTTTTTTAAAAGACAAGAATGAGGCTTTACAGTCCTTTAATAATAGCGCTCTAAGCTAAAAAGAAATTGGACTACAAATCAAATAAATTAATCTATCAAATAATAGATTTACTACTAGGCAGGTTGGCAAGCTATGATATTTTAAATATTTAAAGAGTGAAACAAACACTAAGTCTTTCACAGAATGTTTTAAGCCATCATTTGACAGGCTTCGTTGGTTAATCGCAACCAAGTCTGGTGGGAAGTGGCAGGACTAAAACATTTATCCACTTACTAAAAATTCTCCATCTATTTTGGCCAAAAAGAGTCAATTTTATTAAATATAGTTGGTTTAATTAATGGAGTAGGTAAGTTATAACTAACTCTTACACAAAGGATAAAGAGCACACAAACTGATTTTTTTAAATGGTGTACACACACACCCTTTTCAATGAGAATCTAGTTCAGTTGAGTCAGAAATTCAATCATACAAAGCAAGTCTTAAAAATGCACTCATTCAAGCAGCATTTAGCTATATAAAGGTCTTAAATTCTGACTAAATAAAACCAAACGACTACTTCTTACTGAAAAATTAACCTGGTGTACCTCTTTTAAGTATTACTAGTTGTACATCACGTGCATTTATGAAAACTAACAATTCATTCAAATAAAAATAAGTACAATGTGTGTTGTGCAGCAGCTTAAGGGGAAAATTACAACGGACAGAAATCATATCCTTCCTCTCAAAACAAAGAAATAAAATGAGGGAATGTTTTCTACATCAACTCTCAGTGGCAGATACAGATACTGTATGTACTCGTGTATAAGCCGAGTTTTTCAGCACATTTTTAATGAAGTTTTGTGGTAAAATTAGGTGCCTCGGCTGATATTCGGGTCAGCTAATACTCGAGTATGTACAGTATAAAAAAATTTTTTTAAGCTATAAATTTTAAGAGCAAAGTATTTTAAGTGTAATCTGGAAAATAAAGTATAATATCTTTTATAATACAAAGAAAGCATAATAGTCTAAGGAAGATAAAATTAACCAGAATAATCTATTTTTAACATTTTAATATCTTAATAATCAAAGTGAGATTTGTCCTCTTATCCTCTGGTACCTGTCATTAACAGAAAGGGAAAAAATGCTTTAGATCCAATTGTTTTCTATCAGGTAATGACAGGTACCAGAGAATAAGAGGAACCAAATCTTACTTTATTAAAATATTAAAATTTTTAAGTTGTTGAGTTGTATCCACTCATTGCGACCCTACATACCAGAGAACAACGTCTGGTCCTCTGGCACCATCAAAATCGTTATGCTTGAGGCCGCCACTGTGTCCACCCATCTTGTTGAGGCTCTTCCTTTTTTTGCTACCCCTTTTAACCACGCATGATGCCCTTCTTTTCCAGATAACATATGCCAAGCACATGAGACAAAATCTCACTATTCTCAATTCTAAACAGCATTCTGGCTGTACTCCTTCCAAGATAGATTTAATATTTCTCCCTCCTTTCTGGCAGTAGATAGGTACTTTCATAAATCACCAGCACCATGACTCAAATGCATTCATTCTTCTTCGATTTTCCTTATTCAATGTCAAACCTCCATATGAATATGAGGAAAGAAATGATCCCATGGCTTGGGTCAAGTGCAACTTAGTCCTCAAAGGGACATTCTTCCTCTTCAACACTCTGAAGAGGTCTTGTGCAGATTTTTTTTTTAAATCATTTTATTGGGGACTCTTACAACTCTTGTTACAATCCATACATTGATTGCATCAAGGATATTTGTACATACGTTGCCTTCATTCATTTCTAGACATTCACTTTCTATTGAGCCCTTGGTATCAGCTCATTTTTCCCCTTCCCACCCCCTACCCTCATACCCTGTTGGTAGATTATAAATTATTATTATTTTCATATCTTACACACTGACCGCTGTCTCTCTTCCCCTGTGTTTTCTGTTGTTCTTCCCCCTGTAGAGGCGAGTATGGTTCTGATGCACATCTTTTAAACCACATAGTATTTCCTTGTTCTGTTTCAATATGGCCTCTTGATAGTGCCTCCTGAGCAAACACACATGTGCGCATGTACACACAAAACCTTCACTGCTAGTGAGTCGATTATGACTCAGAGTGATTGATTCTATTGAACAGAGTAAACCAGCTTCTTTGTATTTCCTAGGCCGTAAATCTTTCTGGGAGCAGAAGGCCTCATCTATCCCCTGCAGAGCTTCGGATAGAGCTGAATGGCCACCTTGCCTTTAGCCCCGCAACACCTAACCAAGGCTCCATCGGTCGGGAAAACGAAGTGCTCTAGAATTTGCATGCTTCTCAATCTACCCAGAACCTGTAATGATCCACAAAGTCAAGTGGGGTGCCTTTGTATAGTCAATAAATCACAACTAAACATGAGAATGCGGTTTTCTGCTTTCAGCCAAGATACATCTGATGTTAACAATGATATCCCTCATGCAATATCCTCTCCTGGCAGCTCCCTGTTGATGTACTGCTAAAATCGTTGTTAAATGATCGCATTAAAATTAATGATGTTGTTCTATCATTTCCATACTACTGTGGACTTGTTTGGAATAAGAACAAATATAATTCTCTTCTGTTTAGTTGGGTAGATTGCTGTCTTCAAATTTCTTGATATACATTCCCAGGCCTTCATCAACTTGTTGAAACATTTCAAGTGGTATTCTGTCCATTACTGGAGCCGTTTCACTAGTGCCTTCAGTGCAGCGTGGACTTCTTTTAGTACCATCAATTCTTGATCGCACACTATCTCTTGAAATGACTGAATGCCAACGAGCTCTTTTTGCTACACTGACTGCGTAGTAGTTCACTGTCTTTTAATGCCTCCTGCATCATGAATTTTTTTGCCCACGGAATCCTTCATTACAAAGACTTGAAGCTTTCTTGATTATTTCCTTCAGTTCTTTCAGCTTAAGATATTTTTCCTTCTTGGTTTTCTAACTCCAGGTCTGCACATTTCATTATAATGCTCTGTCTTCTCAAGCTACCCTTTTAAAATTTCTATTTAGCTCTTCTTAAATGAACTTGCGAAAGCAATTTAGATTCTACAGGGAGCTTCAAAAATTCATGGAAAAACTCCAATATCTTTTTGTTCTGTTTCTCCATTAAATTTTGAAGCCCCCTTATATAACCTTTTATCTTTTTATTAAGTTTCCAAGTCTCCTATATAATAAAAATGAGTCCCTACATGGTAAAATTGCTTTGAAGTTGAATATATAGCAGTTTATCCAAAAGCTTTAAAATAACAAAAGAAACATAAGCTATTTTCATTATAGTTAATTTTTCTAAAATTCATTAGCTCTCCTACGTGAGATGCTCATAATAGCCCAATGAGCAAACATTCATATTCAATCACCCTACAAACATTCACCACGTCCCTATTGCAGGGTGGCCAGTATGCTAAGCTTGGAATATATGATGGAAAGTGAAATAAGTACTTTCTATATTCATGATACATAAATAACCTTATGAGAAAACCCATTATTTATACTGGCACAAATGTTCCCATTACAATAACACAGAGAAGTAATTTATAGTACCGTCTTTCCTGTCACTCTGACTGATCTCAGCATGAGGAAACACTCTTTGCAAGACTGCTAGGATGCTGTTGAAGCTTCTTTCTAGGAGTGGCCTTATGATAGGGGACAGTGCATGTCCCGAAGACATCACAGCACGCTGGGAAGCAGGCACAATATTTTGCATTGCATGATAAAAATCTTGTGCATTGAGCACTATTGAAGAAACATCCAGCTGCAGCTTATGACTGCTAGCATAAATCTGGGGGTAACGTCTCCTCAGGGCAATCAGGGCAGCTTCGGTGCACAAGGCCTTGATATCAGCGCCACAGTAGCCTAATGCACAAAAGGAAAAGGATAAGAAAGGTAAGTTCATTTTTCCAAGGACCAACTACAATTTTCAAATCTACACAGCCTTAGCTAAAGTAATACCCAGTCCTTAATCATCAATTATGTATAGTTTTATGAGCAAACTGAAATGGACTTTTACATTGCCTTAATAAAATTAATGAATTAAGTGCTAAGTATTCAATAAGACTATTTTAGATTAACATAAACATAAACTAAAAGTATTCAAACAAAAGAGGTCATTCTGTGTTAAGTCGCTGATTACGGGGTACAGCTGGCTTCAGGAACAGCTGTTAGAACAGAAGTAGTTTCAACCCAATCCTTCATCAAAACTCCAAATCATTTGTTTAATTCTCATGACATTTTTACAAACAACATATATTTCTAATAGTATTAATTTCTAAACACATGAAAGGGAGTAGTACAAAGTAAGGCATAGGCAAAACCTCAAAAAGAGCTGTTTTGCCATCAAGTATGAGTTCAATTCACAACGTAAATTAACATTCACTTATTCAAAAACATCACTCCATTTGTAATTTACCGGAGAAAGTTCCAAAAGCAATAAATGAAATAGGAACGTTAAAAACATTTTCCTCAATTCCCCACACTAACTTTGCTTTTATGTATATTTTTAGCTTCAAGTGATTGACTATCTAGTTCTAATGGCTGTACCAGGATGAGGCTTATCTATATTTACCTGAACAAATCTTTTGTGCTTTTAAATCATTTCAGTCATTTTAGTAACAAGTACATATAAAAAACAGAAAACTTTACCATAAGAAGAAAAAGAAAATGAGCCTCATAGCTTGCTTTTGGTCACTGGAGGGGGGGCGGGGGGGGTGCACTAGTGGGAGCAGATGTAAATCACTAGTCCCTGTGCTCCTCAAGGAGCCGGATTTGGTTTTTCTCTTTCTACCCAACAATGACCTTGTGGAACACTTAAATATAAAATAAAAAATGGTAATTAGATAATAAAACCATTAGCAGAGAAGTAGCTCCAACTTAACGAACAGAAAGAACATTTAGTGACATCTTATTTTTAGGTCATCTGATTCGGAGTAGAACAATGATCCCATAAATAGTGACATCTTACAAATAACAAAAATAAAATTTCTTTACCTTGCTATTTCGTAGCACATACCACCTGCTATCCTCTAAGTCATTGACCTATATGATGACTGTCTACCTCCCCACCACGAGAATGTGGGGCTCCATGAGGATGAGGATTTTAGTTTGTTGTGTTCACTACAGATAGTTGACAGATTATGGCCATAACAGATTCCTGTTACCGTGAACCTCACTTACAAACCTGGTTTTGTTGGTTTACATCTTATAGTTAATAATGCATACCACATAAAAAGTTGCACCCAGACATAAAATTCCAATTTATAAAGATGCTAATAAAAGGCACTAATAATGGAAAGTTTAAAAATGAAGCATTTGATTTATATCAGAGCCAATTTAGAAAGGAGTTGTCAGAACACAACTCCCTCAGAAATCAGCCGTGTATCTCAAAGCCCTCAACAGTGCCTGGTACACAGCAGACGGACAAGAACCACAGCAGAGGAGAGGACAGTCTAGAAGGGTAACTCGCCACTTCGCGCTTCGACTTCCGCGGCTTCACTCTATCGTGGTTTTTGGGTAACAGCGCATGCTCTGTCATTACTGCCACTGATTGGCTCATAATGTATACGCTTGATGCCATAAATAATATAATAAATAATAAATGATAATTGTAACGTCCAAAATGTTTTACTGTATTTTCCCTTTTTCGTTTAATAAATTGGG